GTCCTCTTTTCTCCCCTTTTTGTAGATGGGAACCACGTTGGCCCTCTTCCAGTCCTCCGGCACCTCTCCAGAGCACCATGAGTGTTCATAAAGCCATGCCAGGGGACTTGCAATGACCCTAGCGAGTTCCTTCAGGACTCTAGGGTGAAGATCATCCAGGCCAGCTGACTTAAAAATGTCCAGCCCCTCCAGAAGCTCCCTAACTAAATTTTGATCTAACGGCGGATGTCACGCCCCTTCCAGGCTTGTTTTATCGCCGGAGTAGTTCTCTCCTCCCCGCGTCGCCAACCCCGATCTCGTCTGCCACAACTTGGTGTTCTCGGTAGGTGGGGTTGGTTAACGCGACCCTTGGTGGCCCGGGTTTTGCCCGATGGTCGCTCACTGGGCTCCACCCCTACACACCAGCCTCACGCCACCTTCGATGTGCCGTCCAGCCATTATCTGCGGCCTCTCCCGTGGGGTCACCCTCTCCGTGTCGTATCTAGGAGCCAGCGGCTAAAGGCCCTGCTTGCCCACGTGGGCCTGCCCCTACAGCCCTTCACACTCCCGTCCCTTCCTTCAAGGGTATCTACCCCACTAGGGGCACTCTGCTGAGGCTTCTCTGCAGCCCTGCCCCAGGGACACTTATCCCTGTTGCCCGGGGTAACAAAACAAAATGACTAAACAAAACTGACCAGTAACCTATTCCTGCCCCCCTTTTATCCCCTTCCCCGGAGCCTAACGGGGAGGGATTGTTCTCCTCTTAGCTTGTCGCTTCCTGGACTAACTCCTCTCCATTCCTCAACACGATGGACCCCGGCGGTGATACCCACCCTGATCACAAACCCCTTCAGGGCTCTCCAAGGGTCTTTGCCCCCTGTCATGCCGTCCTTCGCACCCCGTTGTCCTGGCACTCCCACCTGGGTCCTGTCGTGCTTCCAGGTGCCACTTCAGTTCTCCCTCTGATCGGTCAGCCCGTTGCTCCTTTGTTGTCCGGTGGGGGCTTTTGTCAGGGTGCTCCACTCTCCCCCAGCCTGCGTCGACTCCTGCTTGTCAGGCTCCTCGGGACCAGCGCGTGGAGTCTTCCTAGCTGCTGGTGTCAGCAGCAGCTCCATTCCTCGTCTATCCACCCCTTCCGCTGCTGTGGCCGCCATTTTTATTTCTGCCGTCCGGCGTCTGATGCTGACATCACTGGCCAGCCGTAATTGCACAAAAAGGTGGCTAACGAGCTGCGCGGGTTCCTCCTTCCGTCCCACATGCGTCTCGTCCCGAGCTGCTGGTAAGTGCCACGCGTTACTTTGCCTCCCGGGACACAGACAAAATAACTGGTAAAGCAGATAGAATATTAAAATATAATATAAAAGAAGAACTCCCTGAGAAATATCCTGGATTACCTTTGCTTGCTAAACACTTGCCCAAATAGAAAGGTTTTGCAATGCTTCTAGATGCCCAGGCTCAGGCTCTCATGGGCCAAGGGGAAGGATGTCCCAAAGCTGAGGTGTGACCACTGGAAATGACCTGCCACATATTTTTTGACAAGTGAACTTGACTAACTGATGGTACTATGGAACTAACAGGAGGCTGCCCTCAGCTGACCTTATGGATCAAGACAGGTCATAAGGGAGGAGGCAGTCCCTTAGGTACATGATGATCAGACCATGTAGGGCTTTATAGGTCAAAAAAAGCATTTTGAATTATGCCCAGAAAGCTATTGGGATCCAGTGCAGACTCTGGCGCACTGGACCTGTGTCCTTGGGGACCCATCTCTGTCAGAAAGTATGTTGTCACGTTCAGCACCAGCTGCAACTTCCAGATGGTTATCGAGGGCAGTCCCACATATAGCATACTGCACTAGGTTAGCCTTGAAGTTACAAAGGCATGGCTTGCAAAGGTGGCCATATCCAAATCTGAAATAACCTTCTTCCCAGGTGGAGTTGATGAAAGGCACTCCTAGCTACCACACTTTTTGCAGATCCAGGTAAAGCAGAGGATCAGGAGCACCCCATGGTTGCAACCCTTAGTGACAAGGGGAGGTTGAACTTCATCACTGACAGGGGTCCCAGTCCTCCCAAGTCAAGCAGCTTGCACACCACCATAACCTGTGTCTTGTCTGGGTCCAGTTTGGGTTCCAAGTTGCTGTCAGAAACTGGGGAAGGACCAAAACTGCAGATCCTAGGTCAGATGAGAGTGGCCTGGGTGTCATCAGTGTACTGATGATATCTTAATTCAGATCTCCACAATTATCTCACCCACTGGTTTATTGTAGATGGTGAACAGGCATGCCACCAATATGAAGCCCCAGGGGAACCATAGGAAACGTCCTGAGGGGTCCTGAGTACCCACCCATCATGGCCCGCTGGGGTCTCCCTGCTGGGAAAGAGTGGAACCAATTTAGAGTGGTCCCATGAATACCAATTAGGTCTTTCAAAAACTTTGTCAGCACCTCAGGATAAGCTGTCTCGAAGGCTGGTGAAAGATCTAAAAAGATCAACACAGAACAATTTATTGCTGAAATGTTTCTCAACTAGAAAGAAAGGGGGAAAAAAACAACTCCAGTCAAGTAGACATCAGTAAATGGTTCTGAACAGAAAGAAACAATAAAAATGACACTTCTAGTAGCAACGTGAAGTAGAAAAAGGAACATGTACATGGAAATCAAATCTGGTTTGATAGAAAGATGTTTGAGATGCATGCCAAGTGAGAATGGACATAGATGGTGGGTGAAACTGTAGCAGGAGAAGATACTAGTCTGGAATAGTCATATGGTTAAGAGGAAAGGGTTTTAAATGAGGAACTTTCTTCTGGCTTCCCTAAGAAGTTATCTGCTGTGTCATTCATACTCTAGCTTTGGTGAGCAGTTCCAGGGCAGGTCATAGGGATAAGTGTTTTTATTACCTCACCAGGCTAGAATGGAAAAGATTTGAACATCTCTCTCTGAAACCAAGGGAAGGAAGGACTGGGGCACAAACAGGCTAGGGAGAAATCCTAGGAAAGAGCTTGAAGTGTGGTTTTACATTTCGTTGTGTTTTACTTTAACCAGAAAGGGAAACTGTAGCTATAAAGTGAATCTGGACTGTAACTTAGTGCTAATCCGTTTAGTGGCACGTGAAGTTGTTCATACAAGGCCATTTAAGGAACAGGGAAATAAAACATGGGCTTAATTGGATCATAAAGGAGAAGTGTGACCACAACTCTATTTGAGGCAGAATTTTTACAGTATTACAAGGCACTTGGAACCAAATTAAAAAATAACCCACAGTAGCAAATTCTAAATTATGTGCATGTTTCAGAGAGAGCTCTAATGAGGTTCTCCCTCCCCCCTCCATGACAAAGTTAATATGTAGTTGTCTGAAACATCAACACCCACCCCACTGTATACAGGTAGCTGGCATGAGACATGTGAAAACAAGGAGATAAGAAGTCCAGTAGAAGTGGTGTTTGGGTGCAATTTCATCTAACCTCAGATGAAGGTTATTTCTCTTCTCTTTAAAAAATTTTCTAGGCTCCAGTAAGCTGAATGAAGCATCCCTGTCCTGTCACCCCTCCTTACATGTCACGAACAAAATCATATTCCTGAACGCTAGAAGGCAGAAGCAAGGTCATTATTCAGCTCTTCATAACTTGGGGAGTGTGCTAGAAGCACAGCTATGCATCATCGGGGTCCGGGATTGAACCAGACAATTACACAGTCACTTTCCAAGATTCGCTTGTTTCTCCCTTGTGTTTTCAGCAAGAATTTCTTTGAGTTCATGACCGCTATTAATCTAGCATACACTGTTTAATTAAAAGAAATGGTTTGTGCAGCCTGGCTTAGGAAGCTTGCTTATCTCTGCACTGGGAAGTTGCTGCTTTCTCTTGTAGAAGTCCAGCATTTAGATCAGGGGTGTCCAGCCTTTTTGAATGTGGGGCCTGAACATGAACTTTTTATCACCCAGCGGGCTGGCGAGCCACATTGAAAGACTTCACAGGAAGCGGTATCACATTACCTCCCGGAAATGAAAGTATAGTGTTTACTTTTGTTTCCTGTCGCAGCACCTCTGGTCTCAGGAAACAGGTTGGAGAGCCTCATGGCGGCCTGTGGGCTGTATGTTGGACAAGCCTGATTTAGACTGTTAGTGTGCCTACCAGGAGGAGACCATCATTGCAGCATTGTCTTTCACAGGAGAAGAAGGAACAAACAAATAAGGAAATGTTCCCATTCAGCCATTGTCTCTTCACTCTCCCAGACAAATATTTTCACCCACCAATTCATCACTCAGCCCTAGTAACCCACCTTATTTTCCTTCTGGTTCAGGAATTTCCCCCACCAAGACCCTCACCTCCCTTCAACCCAGCTCTCTTCTTCCTGATTTGTCCCCAGATTCAACTTTTGTCTTCCTCATTAAGCCAGGAACTCCTCCTTTCACAATCCAGGCTAAAAAACACCTCTTGCTCCTAGCTGAGATCTCCAACCGAAAAGCAATCCTTTCCCCCACTGGCTCAGTTAACTTCTCCCCTAGCTCAGAGCTGTTGGCCCTTCCTTTAAACCTTTTCTGGGACCCTGCCATCCATGCCCTAGGCTCATAATCTTCATTGAACTCAGACCCCCCTCCCCCCATCTCCCCTTAACAAGACTCTCCAACTCAGAACCTCTTTACATTTTATGCTACACACTTTCTTTGGTAAATGACCCTGGTAATTAGATAAGGCTATTGACCTTTCTAACTCAGAACTATATCATGTGCTTCAGAGCAGGAAATGAAATACAGTTTCTAATCAGAAATCCTGTGTGTTGCACTTTTATTACATGTTTAAATCATAGCAAAATTTGATCACTTCAAGTTAGTGGGCAAGAAACGCTCATTTTAGAAAACCCCAGGGATATGCATTAGGCGGTTTAACAGTAGGATATAAATAAGTGATTTTGGAAATATGTGAGTAGTGTCTGTTTCCATATACTGTTCTTCATATCACTGCTTAATATTTCTGTCTGGTACTCCTGTCTCTAGAAACAGAGCTTTTCTAGTGGTAACCTCTTTAATTTAGAAACTTAAATCCTGGATTCTCTGGTTGACTAAATTGGCCAGAGATACCTGCTGGAAAATTCTCTTTGCACAGAGGACATTCCTGGTGCCAGAAAACTAGTGGAAGTGGCTTTATCACTTGCTGTGCCAGCCATGTCCCAGGGGAAGGTGAGGTTGTGTCTGGGGCACAGCATGAGCAGAACAGAAGAGAGGGTCGTAGCCAAGTGGAATTCCACTGTGCTCAGCACTCGACTGCTGAGAGGTCCCTGAGAGGCCTTACACTACTGATGTTGGTTAGGAATAACCTGAAGTTGCTCAGGGGCTAGGAGGCATTTAATCAGGGAGCTATTCATTCTTCCTTGCTGCTACCCATATCCAGGCTGTCTGAGATTGAGGCCTGAAGTGTTTTCCTCCAATTATTACAAATCAAAGTAGTGATGGGATATAGAGTTGTGGTTAAACAGATAGGTTTTTTTTATGGCAGGGGCTTGTTTTTTGCATTTGATCTACTTTAATTTGAAAAGGTTGTATGTTTTTGATTATTTTCTTTAGTATGGAAAATAAAACCATTATTGAATGAACGCAGTCTTAACATCAAGGTATAATTATTTCCAACACATGTAGGTCAGGGCTTATGCTGAGAAATTCTTAGCCATGTTAGTTAAGGACTATGTTATGCGAAGAATTTCTGTTTCCTAACCAACATGAGCCAACAATTCTCTTTAGCAGGATCATAAAATTAGTGTGACATCTCTCAAAATAGAAAAGAATAAACACGAACAGACTTTGTCCATCAACCACTCCTGCCTCTCTGAATTTTTTGTCTTTGACAAACTGAACCAGAGTGTTGGAACAAAAGCAAATTCTGCCTTTTGTTGTATCAACCTTCATAGGGAAGAGCCCCTTCCATTTTGAAACTGGGGCAGCAAACCTTCTTAGGTTGTTCTTGAACGTTGACCAAGGTTTCTGTTTATTCCTTTCAATGACTGAACAACTTGAGAAGGAACACACAGACTTTAAACATTAGGTTCTGCTCAGATGTGTTATTTCTGTGGCTCCAAGAGTTTTTGTCTGTTTTTATGAATAGTCTGTTAATATCCTTTGGGTTTGTTCAGATTTAGCTTAATTCCATAGTGCTGCCACCACCATTTCTTACGGTTTTTATATTAACGTCAGAGTCCCACAACTTGAGCAGTGATCCCAGCTTTCGTGGGATACTTAACCTCATAACAGCCTTCTTTTGCTGTGTAAAAAAAGGGTGAGAACACCACGGGAGAAGGATTTCCTGAAGGCAGAAATTGCATCAGATACTCATGAGACAGCCTCCTATAGAGCCGTCTTGGAGGACTGAATAGCAATTATTGGCCCAAGCTGTTTGTATTTATTGTTTCCCATTGTAAAAGGGCAGAACATCATTTTCATTGGGCGGTGGCAGATCCAGTGATATTTAGTCATACCAATATCTTTTCTCTTATCTGCCTCTCTATTCTACATGTCCCCAGTGACTCTGATATCAGATTCTAACAGATCAGGCATTCTTGTTTTCAATTCTCCATTGGAAAAAATATCAGCAGGCCTCGGGTATACAATGCCTAGAAAAATAGATTTGATACACCCAATTGCCTATTTACAGTAGTTGTAATCTCTTCTAGTAAGATTATCTCATAGATTCATAGATTTATAGATTCATAGATTAAGGGTCGGAAGGGACCTAGTAGATCTTCTAGCCCGACCCCCCACCAGGGCGGGAGAACAACAAAAAACCCAAAAAAGAGAAACGGGACTCAAATGAGTCCAGCCAGGTAGGCA